AAAAAAGCTCGTATTGGCTCTAGCGCGGGTTGTCATTAGTGATAAACGAGTCGAGCTCGAACTTGATTTCAGACTCGTTTCTTTAACGAGCCGAGAGGTGATCGGCTCGACTCGTTTACAGGCTAAGCCCCATATACACTTTTTTTTTTCACATTATCCAAAATGAGTTACAGATCCCTCTAATAGAGCAAAAAACTGCAGTAACAAGAAAGGCATCGCTTCCTCAACCCCAAACCCGACCCGCCAGCCGGGCCAGGCCATTCTCCCTGACGCCTCCGCCTTTTGCAGCCTCACTTATCGGCCGCCAGATCTCAACAGACGAACTGTCGCAGTTCGCTGACCTCCAAATTTCGCCGGAAAACCCGAACCCGAGGAGCTTCCCCCACAGCGTGAAGCAGCAGTACCGGGCCAAAGCGGATAAAATCAAGGTGACCGACCCGGATAGATGGCATCGAGACCCGTTCGGTAACGTTAGGTTTATGCAGCTCATGGGTTGTCCCGGTTGCCTCTGCCATGATTTCGACCACATTTTTCCCATACTCGAAGGTTATTTCGCTTTTTTTTTTTTTTTTTTTTTTTTTTTTTTTTTTTTTTTTTTTTTTTTTTTTTTTTTTTTTTTTTTTTTTTCTGCAGCACTTTACAAATTGCTCGAGTTTTTGTCTATAGGTTTTGCTTTTGTGTTATCGTTTTCCATACTCCATGCTTAAATTTTTAGTTTATTAAAGCTTTATAACCGTTTTTTCATCTTTGATATAATGGATCTTTCTGATCTTCTTGAGGTGTTGGTTGTGTGTTGATATGGTAGTCTGATGCCTGCGAGCGTAACGGAGCGAACGTAGCGAGGGAAGCGGAGCGACCAAGCGACGTGAGCAATAGTCTCAAATACATCAATACACCATGTATTTACATTATGAATTTACATTGGGAAGAAGAAAAGGAGAATTGTGCTGCTAATATAGGTTTAAGAAGTTTAATTGTGTGCACTTGTTTATTATACCTTTTCAAAAACATAATTTTAGGCTTAAAAGAGGAACTATATGAAATACGAAGCAAGCTCGTTTGCACAGCCAGTTTAGCAAATCAAATGCTTACCACTGTAGTCGAAGATGGCCGTGACAATTTGGACGGATAGAGAAAGTGATTTACATTTTGTTGATTTACATTTTGTTAATATGTGTGATTAACATAATAACATTGCTAGAGAGAAGATATAAGTTATCCTTAAGCTATCAATGTATATGCTTTTAGACATAGTAGCTTAATCGAGCACGACACGGGGAATTTTTATGCTTCCAATTGAGTTTGATTAATGTATTGTAGTGTGATAAAATGGACTTGGAGGCAAATGGGAAAGTGGACACACCCTTTTTTTTTTCACATATTGCAGCATTTTATCTGAAGGGAACATCAGTCCTTTATTATTACAGATACTAATACAAAATGAAAAGAAGTTAATGCTTGAACAGTTGCTCCTGGAGTGGCCAAATAAGGCGCTTGAATACCACTTGTAAATAATCCAAGGAACAACATTGAACGAGATTCCCGCGAAGATGATTGAGAGGCAAAATGAAAAGAAGTTAATGCAACTTCACATTTTGCAGAATTTTATCTGCAGGGAACAAAACATTCGTTTATTATTACAGAAACCAATACAAAATGAAAAGAAGTTAATGCAACTTTAAATTGAAATTTATACATTATTTTCTTTTTTAATCTTTATGGAACTGCTTATGTGAAGTTTTTATTATTTTTATTTGCAGGGAGGGAAGAGCACACTTGGAAATTGCAGGTAATATTTTGCCTTCACGAATTGATTTTAGCTTGATGTTGTTATTTCTGAGAGAATTGCAAGTCTACAGCTTTTCTTATTTGAAGTGTTTGAATGAACAATATTCAGTTGATTGTTTTATTCAACATTCTTGGAGGAAAAATATGTGTTGTTAGGCAACTTTTTAACTTAAAAATTCGGGTGTCTTATGAAAACCACGGCAAGTATGTTTCTTATGTCCAAAGTTAGAAGCTTGGAAGGCAAAGAAATAAAAGAAAAAGATTGAATAGTTAGATAAAACATTGTATTCAACTTCTTGCATCTATGAGTAGTTGAAGCTTGAACTTCCAATATATTTGGTCAATGATTGTTGACTTTCTCCGTAGGGTTTTGATAAGTATAAATAAACGGTCAAGATTAATCCTAAAAATGTGTTATCCTGCACGAGTTAATTTTTTTTTTCCTCTCCCGAGCTATACTAGATTTCTAACTTTGCTACCCATTCATTTAAAATGGACAAACCGTTGTTCATTCATCCAGAATTCCTCTTGAAACCGGGATTTGATCCAAAAAAACCACTTTAACCACTTAAATGGTTGTTTTATTAAAGAAAACCAACATATATAAACAGTCAAAATTGTTTTGGAATCGAACCAGACTGTTTTTGATACAAGCTTGTAGTTGTAAAGTAACAAATGTATTTCATTCTTTTTCTTTCTTTCTGGGAATATTACATAATATACAGAACATACATAAAACCATTTGTTTTGTATTGAGTTCCATTGGAGTCTCTATTTATTATGGTTAAGGGGCATAGAGTTAAGTGTTACTATTTTAGATATGCCTTTTGAAAACAAGGATGTCATATGGTTAAAAGATAACAGTTTTGTAGAAACATCATAAAAGTTAGCTATATTTCTTTAAAATGTTGTTATAGTAGTAATTATATTTTTTGTATTAAGTTCCATTGGAGTCTATATTGCTAATAGAAACATCATAAGATACAAAAATTGAGACAAACAACAGTCGCAAGCATCGCCCGCCTTTCCTCGCCCACCATGCCGCCGGGCCAAGGAAGAGCCTGATGTTCACCGGAATTAGGGAGGGCTTGGGC